CTGTGTGGACTTTGATGGTCCAATCCCATGGGAAAAATGTGGTGATTCAGTCAAAAGATTTGAAAATACTATGACAGAGGGTGGTACTATTCTGAAAGAGGTGCAAAGGATCTATTAATAAGTTGAAGATCCATGAGAAGATGCTCAAACCACTATGCCACACTGGCTCTCCCCCTTTTTGACTCATGCCTACCTTTGCCTTTTCAGGTCTCAGGGAGGGTGGCTGTAGTAATAGCAATAGCAAAAGCAAAAACAAAAGCAATAGCAGCTTCATTTATGTACCACCTCATACCACGCTATGCAGTCTCTAAGAGGTTTGCAACTGTAAGCAAATTGCCCCCAACAAGCTGGGTACTGAGTACAACCTCAGAAGGATGCCAGGTTGAGTTGAGCTATGGCTATGAAAGAACTAGAAAAGATTCCAAAATGTAAAGATATACAACTCAGCACAAAAGTTAGAATCATACAAGCCATCGTATTCCCTTTTCCCATGGATGGATGTGAGAGCTGGACAGTTAAGAAAGACGATAGGAAGAAAATCAATTTGAGATAATGTGATGCTGGAGAAGAGTGCTGAGTATCCCATGGACAGCCAAAAGGACAAACAAAATGTGTTTTGTTTTTAAGCATTATTGTTGTATTTTATATTGTATGTTTTAATTTGTAACTGATTTAATAACTTTTTAAGGGGGGGAGGGAACTAGATTTTATTGCTGTATGTTATATTTTACTGTTGTTAACTGCCCCGATTAATCTCAAAGGGGCGGGATATAAATTATTATTATTATTATTATTATTATTTAAATGGGTCCTAGAGCAGATCAAGCCGGAAACCTCTCTTTAAGCCAAGATGACCAAACTGAGACTTTGGACACATCATGAGAAGAAAAGGGAGGACTCTTTGGAAAAGACAATAATGCTGGGAAAGGTGGAGAGAAAGAGGAAGAAAGGAAGGCCACATACTAGATCAGGGGTAGGCAACCTTTCCCCTTTAAGGGCCGAGGGACTTCAGCTCCCAGAAGCCTCAACCATGTTGGCCAATAGTCCCATGTTGGCCAATAGCTCCTGGGATTCTGGGAGCTGAAGTCCCTCGGCCCTTAAAGGGGAAAGGTTGCCTACCCCTGTAGTAGATGGATGGAATCTATTAAGGAGCTTACGGGTATTAAGGAGTTGCAGGATTTAAGCAGAGCAGTGGAGGACAGAGGGTCCTAGAGATGTCCCATCCATAGGGTCGCCATGAGTCAAGATCGGCTCGAGGGCAGTTAACAACAACAACAACAACAACGGGATTAGGGATGAGTAGTTTGCCTTTCTCACTCCCTCCTCCTATTGAAGCTGACTGGGGCTGAGAACCTGCTTAGCTTACCAGGGACAGCCCAGGAGTGATTGAAACAGAGCTTCCAAATTTACCGCTGCTCCCTGCGCTCCCACAGCAGATGCTCAGCCCTGCAGGGTTCCTCTGCCCTGCAGGATGACTGCCGCAGCCTTTTAATGTTCCAGCCTAATGTGTGAGCAGGGATGGCGGGTGCAGGAATCTGCTTTTGTTTTCTAGAGAAGCAAACCTTTGTGTCTCTTCCCTCCCTCCCCCAAATAGTTGCCTCTTTCAACTATTGCTTTGAAACCCCCACACACACACACATTCTGCCTTTGCTTTTGGTTCATTAGGGAATTGAATTGCTGGCTATTCATTTTTTTCCCCTAATGATTATAATTGTTATTTTTAAAAGGCAAACCTTGGCTTTGCCATTTTATATAAGGGCCACCATTTTACTATGCCATTGTATTTAATGGGACTTGAGCATCCACAGATTTTTGGTATATATAGGGGGTCCTGGAATGGAACCCCAGCTGATATTAAGGGCCCATATATTAAGAAATAAAATTTCAATTTTAAAAAAAAAATTAAATACTCTCTACAGTGCTTGAAATTTGGAGGGTGAAGGAAAATTTCATTAAGTTCGAATTCTTAATGGGTCCAATATTCTCCTTCTCTTTCTCATGGCTACACCCCTGAGATGGTGGCTCCCATTTCAGTGGGGTACAGAATCTGCTCCGAAGTGTAGCCTGAAGGAATTATGCAAGCTGTTGAATCTTTATTCGGAACAGAGTCCAGACCCTCAGATAGCTTCTTTGAATTTCACAATAAAACACCAAACAAGATTCACCACCGTTCCACCAAAATTGCTAATGTCTACCTGGAACATCAAAACAGGACCATAATCCAGGGCCTGACCCATTTTGCTTTGAGACTGATTTAATCTCAGCGTGCAGGAGGCGAGCTTTTTGAGTTCTTGTTCAAATAGAATTGAAGGGTTAACTTTGCAAGCAACGTCGGTTCAAGGGAAGGTAAAGCATTTCTTGCCCACTTCATGGCCAATCAATCCTGGTTAGGGACCTCCAAAGTCCTCTTCCTTTTGGTTTCATTGTAATGAGAACGGATGGAGAGTTACTGTTGCTGGAATCCTTCTACCATCGTGATCCTTCTCCACCTGTCCCTCGAGTGCAATCATATTTTTCAAGCTGTCTACTTATCGATTTCCCTTCACCTATATTTCAATGGAGATATGCCCTCCGGGATTAGAAAAAGAAAAGGGCCCTAAGTGAGTCCATCATGCTCCGCAAAGAGAGAATTATTTTCCAGCTAAGTGTGTCTAATATAGAAGTTTGACACCGCATTCTGGCCTGCGTTCTGACTTCAGCATCAGGGAGAAAAACAGAAGTCAACCAGCAGGGTAACTTTTGTGTTATAATGGGCAGCAAAGCAATACAGAAAAGGGAAGTTTGGTTTCTCCAAGTCGGAAGGGGCAGTAAGAATGATGGCTCTATTGAGCCTAGGAAGGGATGAGAATGTTAGTTGACTTGGTTGCGTGTTGTCAAGAAATGGTCACTTCTGAACATTTGCAAATTTCTTCATTAAACACATCAAAACTTTAAATAAGAACGGTTGACCAAGGCCACTGCCACATTGCAGAAATGCAGCAGTTTGACACCACTTTAATTTCCATGGCTCCATGTTATGAAATTCTAGGATTTGTAGTCTGGTGGAAGCTTTCTCAAATCTACAAATCTCATAAGTCCATAGCATACAGCCATGGAAGTTAAAGTGGTGTCATACTTCTTTATTTCTATAGTACCCTGATTGATTGATTGATTGATTGATTGATTGATTGATTGATTGATTTTGGACTGCCCACTAGCCCATGTTCTCAGGGCAATGAATGACATATGAAAATGCAAAATAAAACAATCACTGACTAGAATTTAGCATGGGACTTACATCTTCATAAGTGGATTGACATGTGCAGGACACAGCGTTGAGCAGTTTTGCAACATTCATGTTCACCTAGGGGCTGCTATGTCCTTACTACAAAGAGGTATCTGTGTTACACAATGGTGGAGTGACTGATGCATCCTGGGAAAATGCACCATGGGTGGCCTGGGAAGTGTTGAAGCACAATGGAAGCACCCGATAGATGGCCGATTAAAAAGCAAACCAACAGCATTTCTCTCAAGTTTGTCCTGAATCCCGGAAGGATGCAGTCAATCTCCGGCTGCATCGACACTGCAGAAATAATGCAGTTTGACATGGCTTTAACCGCCATGACTGATTAAATGCTATGGAATTCTGAAATTTGTCATTTTGTGAGATATTTAGCCTTCTATGTCAGAGAGTTCCGGTGCACCACCTAACTACAAATCCCAGGATTCTATGGGATGGAGCCATGACAATTAAAATGGTATCATTGGAAAAGAACCAGCATGGCACAGTGGTTTGAGTGTTGGGCTACAAGTCTGGAGACCAGGGTTTGATTCCTCATTCAGCCATGAAACCTACTAGGTGGCTTTGGGCAAGTCACATGCTCTCAGCCTCAAGGGAAGGTGATGGCAAACCTCCTCTGAACAAATCTTGCCATAAAAACCCCATGATAGGGTCACCTTATGGTCACCATAAGTCGGAAATGACTTGAAGGCACAGAACAACATTGGGCAAACCTATCCTGCTTAACTTCTGCCTGCCACAGAACTTTTCACTTTTCAGAGCTCCAGTTACAAGATGGGAGAAGGAATGGTTACCTGTATATCATTATTTTTTTAAAAAAATGGGAGAAATGTGTACAACTCAGGGGATGAGACAGAAATATTGAGACAATCAAATTCTTGGCTGTTGTTTTCTTTACATTCCTTTCCGAAACAAAACTAATAAGTTTGTCAATAACTTCTTTAATACCTATCACTCTCCGGTGAACCATTTTCTGACTTTAATATTAGTTAAGAGGCATTCTGAGAAGTAATTATACAGCAGCTTTTTATAGGCAGATTCTGCTCTGGAAATGTATATGCCACTATATGTCGCAGCAGCACGAGTCAAGGAGACTCCCTTTGGCAAAGGCAACATATGGGAATTGCTTTTAATCTCCGCTCCTAAGAGCGCTGAACTCCCATTAGTTGGGTACATAATAGTGCTAATGAGAAAGACAACCCTTCCTTCTCTTGGCAGGGTTATACCAGCCCTCCTTGCCTTTGTTTCTGTACTTTCTCTGCTGACTGGTTTATATAATGCCTTCCGTACAAACTCCAGTACAAATGGATCTGATCTGCTCTTCCTGGAGTGATGTGCAGCTCAGAACTTAAATATCCAATGGATTTTTGCCCTTTCTGAAAGTTGTGGTGCACTCGTCTACTTTAAGAATAAATAAATACCAAGAGATGTTTCAAAATGCATCTTCCAAGCTAATGTGGTCTAGTGGTTAGAGCATTGCCAGGCAGCCTTCAATGTCAAGGGTACAGTGAATCTTTTTGTTGATGCTGTGAATGTTCAAGTCATAAAGTGACCCTACACAGCCTGTTGTTGCTGTTGCTGTGTGCCTTCAAGTTGTTTCCGACTAAAGGCAACCCTATCCCAGGGTTTTCTTGGTAAGTTTTGTTCAGAGGAGGTTTGCCATTGCTTTTCCCTGAGGCTGAGAGAGTGTGACATGCCCAAGGTCACCCAATAGGTTTCATGGCAGAACAAGGAATCGAACCCTGATATCCAGAGTCCTAGTCCAACACCCAGACCACTACACCATACTGGCAAATCCTTGAAAACCAAGTCAGATAAGCTCTGGTTAGTCCTTGGGAGGGAGACCGCTAACAATATCATCATCATCATCATCATCCTCTTCCTCACTAAAGACTCTGGAGTGGTAGACTGGAATTCGGTACACCATCTGTTCATTAAACAAGGACTAGGCTTTGGAAAAAGTTTGACACACAAACCTTTCTTCAAACAAGAAATCATTTTGCAGAATACAGTTGAGGCATCCTTTTCTAATTAAAGCAACAGGAAGATAAAGAGCAAAGCTCTGAATTAATGAAAGCGGACCATGGATCTTTTGCGCATCTCCGATGAAACGATGGGACTCTGCTGGTTTGAGACAGCACTTCATGATGGCTTTCTCGCAAAGCCTCTTCGAAAGGCAGGCAGCGATTACGTTCCTGTCCAAACCTCCTTAGCAGAAGGATGTTTTGCATTCAAATTTGGGTCTGCCAATGTGACCCGATGCTTTCACCTTCCCATCCGGCTCTTCCAAACTAATTGGGATGATCTGAGGCAGAAAAGAACCGTGGATTTGCCAGATCCTCACGCCGAAAGAGGTGTTTCTACCACAAACCCTCTCGCAATCCTTTAATCCTAACAAGGTGCAAGAAGGTGGTGTGGGGGTTTCCCCCCCCCCTTCCTTTATAATGAATGCAAAACAAACTACTCTATCAGTGCATTCCATTCTGGAACTAATTGAATGGAAGGGATTTATTGGAAGCCACAATTGAATTAGTGGTAGGGAGGGAAAAAAGTTCTCCTCCTCCCCTTGAAGTAGTGAAATGTTTATTGTTTAATAAAGATATTCACTGCAGGCACAACAAAGTTGCTCCACCCAGGGTGCGCTCTGTTCTTGGGAAACCTAGATTCCTCTCTAAACATTTCCGTATTCATGTATACCACTCAGGGGCATAAAAACATACAGTGATGAGAAGAAACTTCATACAGAAGGTTGAACTAGATACTCAGAGGAATGGGTATCCCCTGTGATCACCCTTTCTTATGTTGGACAATGGGATTTACTCAAAGGTGGATGCCTTGGCCCATAAGAATGCATCCACACTGCAGAAATAATCCAGTTTGATACCATGGCTCAATGCTATGTCTGTCTGTCTATCTATCATCATCAGAGTGTAATCACTCTAAAGATAGAAAAGTGTGTGAGAGACAGTGGATAGATAGATGATAGATAGATAGATAGATAGATAGATAGATAGATAGATAGATAGATAGATAGATGATAGATAGATAGATAGATAGATAGATAGATAGATAGATAGATAGATAGATAGATAGATCTATTTCACACACACACCCTCCTGTAGTAAATTACCATATTTGAGAGAGGGGATATTCTGATTTTCTTGGCATGCTGGGTTAATTTCTGTGCAGCATCCATCCATGAAGTGGGAAAGGGGCTTTATCCCTTCCTTATCCATCACCTTTGTCAGATAAATGTAAAATAGATGCCATCTTGTGTTGACAAGCTGGAAAAGCAGACGTGTGTGTGTGTGTGTGTGTGTGTGTGTGTGTTTTCCAGCTCGGATTGGCTTCCCAGATCCTGGATTGTTCAAGATGTCAAAAAGCAGGTGAAATGATAAAAGATCATAAAAGGCTTTTGACAGTAGCACAGATGAATGTTCATAAGAAAATCCTTCCACCTCGAAACTGAGGGTGCATCTACACTGTCAACATAATGCAGTTTGACAACACTTAAAGTGCTACAGCTCCATCCTATGGAATCCCAGAATTTGTAGTTTCACACGGCCTTCAGCCTTCTCTGCCAAAGAGTGCTGGCACCTCCCAGAACTACAGATCCCAGGATTCTGTAAGCTGGAGATATGGTAGTTAAAGTGGCGACAAACTGCATTATTTCTACAGTGTAGATGCACCCAAAGAAACTCCTTTTTCTTAAGTCTTTTTTTACACCTACCCAACTGAATTGGTAGTAGGAAAATATGTTCTCTCCCTTACCCCTTGAAGTTGTGAAATATTTATTATTTAATAAAGATATTCACTGTAGGCAACAAAGTTGTTCCTGCCAGGGTGTGCTCTGCGCTTGCTCAAGTCTCATTATATACAACAATGTAGTAAAATGGTGTCCCATATATAAAATGGCAAAATCAAGGTTTGCTTTTAGGAGGGTTTTGTATTATTATTATTATTCATTCATTCATTCATTTTATTTTATTTTATTTTATTTTATTAATATCTTCAAGCCACGGATGGTTGAATCTATGGATGTAGAATTCATGGATATGGAGGGCCGAATGCATAATACAAAGGACATTCACACACACCCTTTAGACACTTTGCAACTAAGATAAGTAGAAGCACCTAGAAGTAGAAGAAACTTGTATTCCACTCACATGAATTTCATTGCAAAATTATTTTCCCCTACAAACAATGTCTTTTCCATCAAATGGAACATGGAAAGTGCAAGAGAAATTTTCAATTTTCAGCACAGCACATGTTGTTGCTGTTGTTGTTGTTATTTTCTTTCCTGCCTTTACACATAGATCGGGGTGGGGAACAACAACAAATCAATAATGAACAACATCAATTAAAACACATGCAACATGCAACAGTTTAAAAGGACAAATAAGGCATACGCTTTTGAAACAGTCCACATTTAGATGCAAAACCTAAATTCACAATTTAAGATCATATGGGTAAGCCTGCCAGAAGAGACTGGTCTTTAATACTCTTTTAAATCAGGAAAGCATATACAGCTGTCAGATCTGTTCCGGAAGGTCATTCCATAGACTAGGGGCGTCTGAAGAAAAAGTAATCTGGTTGACAGTTTCCAAAAACTGGAGTAAATGTTCACCAGAGGACTTGGGAGGATTATATGGGAGGAGGTGATCCTGTAATAATAATAATAATAATAATAATAATAATAATAATAATAATTTTTATTTATATACCGCCCTGTGGCAGACCAATCCAGGCGGTGAACAAGATAAATTACCATACAATATAAAATCAAGTAATTCCCTCCTCCCCCCCCCTTAAAAAATTATTAAATCATATCAGTTTAAAACAATTGCAGACAGATAAAATAATCACATAAAATAAATTTTACATAAAATTCCATGGCTGTAGGTAACTTGAACCCAAACCATGTAGGGCTTTAAAGGTAATAACCAAGATTTTTTACCTTACCCAGAAACTAATGGGCCGCCAGTGGAGTGATTTTAATACTGGTGTAATATGATCACTCCTGGATCACTCCTGGAAAGACCTACAATCCTGAATGCACTCAATCATGTCTGATTTTAGATGCAAAGCAAAGTTCAACCTGGTTAATCCTTGGATGGGAAATGACCAGGGAATCCCAGGGATCTTCAAGGAAGACTAGGTACAGAGTGATTACTGCCAACCAAAGTTGACAATACTGGACTTGAAGGACCAATACTTTCAATCAATATAAGGCATCTTCCTATGGATATCACTAATTTAGCTCAGCAGGAGCCAATATCTCACCCTACAGTGGTTGCCTGACATGGACTTGACCGGTGCTTAGATGGAAAGCCACAGAGATACCTAACTAAACTTTGAAAAGGGAAAGCAAGATGTGTAAGTATGATATTTTTTTTTCTTATGGAGATCAGATTAGAGGGAGATGAAAGAACAAAATTATCCCAAAGATCAGCAAGGGAAATCCAAATCTTCCCATTGTTCTTCTGCTTAACGCTCAGCTAAGGTGCATTTTTAATTCTCTCCAGAAAGATTTCGACGATTCTTAAGGGGCAGGAGGATCTGTTAAGCAATCCTGCCAGCTTCTGCCGACTTCCTTCAAATGAATTTAACGTCTCTTTAATTATGGTGACGAACCTAAAGGCTCTGATATTCTACATGACAGAAGTTCCCCTTTGAGTTACACAATGATGAGGAGATTAACTGGGCTCCGTGGGAAAAAGGATTTCAGATGGAGATGAAATACAATGTCTATGTAATTTCAGATGATTGATCACAGTTGATTAGGTGTCCATCAAAGAGCAAATCCAAAGATAGGATTGTAATACTCTGAAGTTGGGGAGTGAGGGTGGCTCATTAGCAAGCTTTCCTCCATCACATTTTAATTGTCATCGAAGTAAAACAGTCGCATATTTCATGACATCCAACACATCTTCCTGTGAAGGTCTGTTTGGCCAGAAGCAATACATCCTGCACTGCATTGCTTCCAGCCAATTGCAGAAAAATTGAATATTACAGAGATAGTAAGTATTAAGGATACATTGAACAGTCTACATCCAGTCTGTGCTCCTTTGACATTTGAAATAGTAAAGTACAACTTGGGTCACTCTTATCTGAAATGTGTGGGACCAGAAGCATTTTAGATGGCAGGTTTTGTTTCCTTTTTCAGATTTTAGAATATTTGCATATACGTCCTGAGATATCTTGGAGATGGGACCCAAATCTAGACGTGAATTGCATTTATGTTTCATACACACCTTATACACATAGGTCATTTTATACATGATATTTTTAATAATCTTGTGCCTGAAACAAAGTTTGTGTCCATTGAACCATTAGAAAGCAAAGAGGTCACTGTCTCAGTCCATGTGGACTGTCCATGTGGACCATTTTAAATGTTGAACTATTTAGGATTTTGGAATTTCAACTAAGGGAGACTCAACCTGGATGGAATCGTCTATGGCAGTTATGGATGTATAACTTAGAGTTGCGCACTCATGACTCTTATGTGTTCACGATCTCTACATAGCCTCTAGTTTAGGAGCTATACAGAGGTCATGCAAATCCCCCATTCTCCAGTTGCTGGGAACCAGCCATTGTGATCGATGGGGATCTGTTCACCTATTGATCAAGAAGCAGCAGGTTGATGGTCCCATAGTGCAAGGTGGAATTGCAACAAGGGTCCTGCTTCTGCCTGTCCCACCAGAATTTACTATAATATAATAATAATAATA